ACTTCACAAGGCTTACACTCTTTCATGTTCTACCACATGGCAGCCTCAAACCGAAGAGGCCAAGAAAGAATTCACACAACGCGATGTCCAAGAAAAGTTTGACATCACTCTTACGAAGCATAAGGGACAGGTTTGTTAACATATGAACCTTAACGTATTATCTACAAGCATTTTCTCTGCCTCACATCTTCCTCCTTGTGTAATTTCCCCTGCTTTCAGTATGCTCTTAGAAAATTATACCATGAGAGTCCAAGAGTTATATTGGTACTATACACTTCACCAACGTGTGGCCCCTGTAGGACTCTGAAGCCTATTTTGAACAAGGTATTCCTTCAATAGTCGACTTGAAATTCATTGGAAAAGATCTTGCTGGACTGATTTACTAACCACTTGTTCATCTCTCCTTCATTTTGTTTCAGGTGGTCGATGAGTATAACCATGATGTGCATTTTGTTGAGATTGACATTGAGGAAGATCAGGAAATTGCTGAAGCAGCTGGAATCATGGGAACCCCATGTGTGCAGTTCTTCAAGAACAAGGAAATGCTCAGGTTGGGAAACGTTCTCTCAGTTTTAGGATTGTATAGATTACTGTGTTCAGGTTTGGCTAAAGATTCCGAGTCTGTGCAGGACTATATCGGGTGTGAAGATGAAGAAAGAGTACCGGGAATTCATTGAGGCCAATAAATGAGGACACCAGATAGATTTTATTGTTTCTGGCAGATGCCAAATCGTATCATGATTCGATTTTGTTCATTCAAATACTTTGGAGTTACTGGAGCAACGCCATTGAATCTCAAATGTAAACAAATAGAATCATCATATTAAGCTGCACGCATAATGTGTTGCAATTTGCTTTAAGACTATTTTATGAAACTACTACCCGCCTCGAATTGGGGTGGTCAGTTTCAGTTTCAGGGACATCGTCAAGGATAAAGGGACCAAGTCTACCTGTCCTAAACAAAGTAAGAAATTTCTTGGAGACCATTAACCTTGCTTCGGATGCTTTGTGAGGAATCTTCAGTGCCTTCTGTAAAACTTCAAACTGTTGCTCTATCAAACATTCCAAATCATTCTCATCCTCTGTGTCCCCATCAAATTCTGAGAGTGTTATATACAGTGATCGTTGCACTTCTGAAATCATATCCTGTAGATGACAGGGAACCTCCATTGGTCAGACAATTTCAGGAGGAAAGCAAGGTAGAGATATAAGGTTATTATGCTAACCCCGACATAGTGCAGAGCAGATGAATCTGGCTGTTTGGTTCTCTGGTGTCGAAGATCCTTTAAGTTATAGCTTGGTTTATCGATGCAGTCTGCATGAGGCCCTTCGTTTCTTCCCTCAACTAAGTACTTCCAATGAAGAGGAGTCCCTCGAATGTTTAGAATAGCTAGAAAGTATTGTGCAATCCGCTCTTCACCCACTACTGAATCTTTAACGGACCCTTAGAATGTCAAACGCATAACAATTAGCTAGGGAGGCATATGCTGTAAGAAATACGGCCCTAGAGTAGATAAACACTAAGAACTGAGATTATAAGACCTAAAGTGTATCATCTTTTGATGAAGTAAATCTAGTGAACGGGTTTACATGATCTAGCACAAAGAAGAAAGAAGAGAAAGGAGATAAAGATATAGATAAGAACCTGAAAGAGCAAGCTTCAAACCGGTTTCGATATCAGGGATACTTGGGACCAACACACCAGGGGAGTCTAGAACATATATGCTAGGTCGATGAGCAATCTGTACCACAGAACATTTTCAGTATGTGTTCAAAAATCATGCTGGGGCATAAGAAGCAAATCCACAAACAAAAGGCAAAAGGAAAAAGAGGAGGAAGAAATAAAGATTACCTTGAAACCAGCAATATCTTGTGTTACACCAGGCAATGGACCAACCGTAGCTCTCTTTAATCTCTCCTGCACTATGCAAATAATGCATATAATAACGAAAATAAGCCACATTACATTTCCTTCATCATTTTGTTCATGAAATAAAAGTTTAAGTATGGAGAAATGGGATTCAGAGTTCAGACTATATCTGTGAAATGTGTATATAATACAGCCTATAAGCTGAGACACTAATATCTTACCAGGAAAGCGAGCTGCTGCGATTTGATGGACCGAATTAATGAGCGCAGATTTTCCAACATTGGGGACACCAACCACCATCACAAGTAAAGTAGGCTCCCTAGCAATCACTTCCTTGAGCTTCAACTCCACGAGATCAAGCAGCTATAAAAAATCACACAAGAAGGTAACTTTTCAAATGCAGAATAGTAGCAATCATTCACAAATTATGTGTGTGACAAAACTATTACTGATTAACACACAAAACTAAATGAAAAGAGATCATCTAACCTTCATGACAGAGCTTCTGCTATGAGCATTAATGGCAATACAATCTTGCTTGCTGGATTCGAAATGACGAGTCCATTTCTACAAATTGCAGAAAAAATTCAGAAACTCAAGCTCTGCACAGAGACTAACAAGAAGAAAACACAAGGGCCACAAAAAAAACGAATTACATTGAGAACATTAGGGTTTGCTAAATCTTTCTTATTGAGAGCAATGATACGTTTCTTAGCTGACATTTGGGATTGTAGATCCTCGTTCGCCGATGACAGAGGAATCTGCAAAAATACCAAAAAGACAACGACAATCCAGATTAATCCTTCCACGATCATAAAGGGATAGAAATAGAGAGAGATATTGTGAGAGAGTGTTTACGGACACGAGCATCGCGAACTTCGATGACGAGATCGGAGAGCTTGAGGCGGTTGCGAATGGCGCGAGTTGCTGCAGCCATATGACCGGGAAACCAATTGATTTTTCCGGCGTCTTTAGCGAAGCTCATTCCGCCGATTAAACCTTTCTTAACTGTCTTCTTCAACATCATCACCATTTTCTCCGGCAACAAACAGCTTCAGAGGAGAAAGAGGGGTTTTCTGAGGTTTTACAGCTCCTCACAAAAACACCGAAGCCAATGTGGTTATAGAAATTGGGCTTTAATATGGGCTTTATATGATTTAATTTTGGGCTTAATACGTTTATGCAACAAAACAGTTTTGACGACCCACCAGTCACCACCCACCCATTTTGGGATGCTGTAACTATATTGAGGCAGTAAGAAAATCATGGTACGGAGAAGTGGTTTCACTGGTTTAATCATTGGTACGGAGAAGTGGTTTCACTGTTTTAATCTTTGGACAGATAGATGCATTTGGCTGTCTCAACGAGAAAGGATGTCTACAACTACAAGGACAAAACGTGAAACTTGACTTGAGATTTGGGACACTTCGCTCGCTCGATAGCTTGGTAGTAGGTTGTTGTTGGCTCAAATCTCAATGGTTTGCTCATTCCTAGCTTATCTCATCTCATGCATTATTGTTTTATCTAGTTTCAACTTAGCATTTTAACTTTGCCAAAGAAACTCATTACCCGTAAAACTTTGGTAATTAACATATATGTTATATTTTGGTGATACGTACAAATCCACATTTTATCCACACACAAAAAATTGCGTCCGTTAACTATTTTAGTTTAAACCCAAAAAAAAAACTATTTTAGTTGTGTTTTTTTAAATGGTTTAAGTTTGTTGGAGTATTTTTATTATTAATACATGTGATATTAACACACTTACTGTATTAATTAGTGAATAATTGATAAATGATCAAATATCTGTAACTACTTAGAAGATATTTATGTTGTTTTTTCTTTATTAAAGAGATATTTATGTTGTTCATCAGCTTAAGCTAATACACGTGTTTGATTAACATAATTATCATTATGTTGCTAATTGGATGGATGAGCACTTTAGGAACACACTAGTTGTTTTAGAGGATATAATTGATGGTACGAAGATTAGCAATAATTTTAGTTTCGGGTATAATGCTTTGTTAAATAGTAATGCATTATTAAGGCAGAAAAAGTCACTACCTTTGTCGGCTTAAGATCCAAAAAAAAATATCTCGTGAAAATATCTCATGCATGGAAATATCATTCACGTTGTCCTTTCTTTCTGGAGACTGTAAGGATAATGTTTTCTTTATTTGTATAATTAAATATTGTAAATCACTCTGTGCGAATACGTGGACGTGTGTTTTATACGAATATATAAGTTACATAACATCAATTATAGAGAGAGATACAATCAATTTTGTAAAGAAAAAGTATTATTTTGTTTGGTAACGTTAGGATATTTCAGATCTCTGGTCTTTGATTTGTTCTAACCTGCAAAGATATATTAGACTATCGTACATATATTATACAATTAATTAAGTTAATGTTTATTTTGGACTTTATTTAGGCTCGATTTATGGTAAATTACTTAGCCGCGTCGACCTCTTGATCTGAAAAAAAAAAATTAACATCCCGGTTCGTAATGAGCCATTGAGAGTAATTTATAATATTTAGTTCTTTACTTCTTTACATTCTTCATGAATGTTCAGTATATTATATATCATTGCACTGATGAAACAGATTAATTGTTGATCACTAACAAAAAAAAAACATATTTTTATTTGTTCTTTTTTTTTGCATTTCTATTTGTATTCATAAAAGATTATGTGTAAATAAAAGATTAAATGGTTTTATTTCTGTTTTTGTTCTCTCTCATACCTCCTTCTCTTTCAATACTACTATACTAGTTTCCACCTTTTTTGAAATGATCCAAAAAAGGATTCCTAGTCACAAGTTATATCCAAATACGTACAGTAAGAGCAATTTTAGAAATTTAAATAATTCATTTTCTCTTACTCATATATTCGGCTAATTTGTATATCTTGAACCTGTAGTTACATTCAATGATAACAAAATTCAAGGATGTATGCAAATGATCAATTTAAAACTAACAAATAACAATATTAATATGTCATACATATTACTAGATGATTATAGCGTCATACTCAACCATATGTAGGATCATTTTCTATAAATGATCGTTTCTATTATATAATATAGTTTTTTTTTTTTTGGTATCAACCAAAAGATTGAAGAATGTGCTATTGTTAAGACTACTACACCAGCTTCAAAGACAATAAAATCTCAGCAAGTCTGAAGAGCAGAAGCATAATTTGATCTAGGACAGTTTATCATGTAATATTGTTAAGTGTGTGTGCATGAAAAACAATCGATTAATGACATGGTCAGAGTTGAAAAAAGTTCATCAACTTGTTAACTCCCGTCATAATATTTGATTAACGCAACGCTGCTACAACGAATGAGATATCATTTAACTCTACTTGATCTCTAAACCTAAGAAAAAATATGAACTGTATAAGAAAAAATATAATTAAGATATAAAAAATCAAGATAATACAAAATAGGGTGTCAAAGTGATGATTGATCTATGTGACCAAAGGCATGTTACCACTACGATTGATTGAACGATCACCTATATCATGTATGTTATATGGTTGGTTGGACTTGACTCTTGAGGCACCATACGAGGCCATCCTTATATATGTATAAAAAAATATTTTTACATTTTAAAATCGAAGGTAGATAACGTTAAACCCAAAAAGAGAAAGTTTTAGGATAGTAAGGCTAATTAAGGCTCATTTATTTGACTACGAACTTTTATTATATATATTCACACGAAAATCATGATTTACCATCGCCAAATTGAGCAAAGCTAATCCATAGTGATTCCTCTTTTTATGTCGGATCCACTATATAACTATTAGATATACACTTTCTATTGGTTTTATTCTTTTAAGAAAAAATAAATCAGTGTTAAGAAATTAACATTCAAAGAGTTAGCGCACCGCAGTTATACACGTGAAGATTCACTAATTAGTCATAAACAATGTATACATATATTTAAACAAAAAAAAATGTATACATATGCCGGGGCAAGAGAATTCAGATTTGCCAACCCAAAAAGCGCATTGCTCCATAATATTATAATGCCTAATTTTCAAAATTATATTATAATGAGTGTTATAAAATACTCTAGATCGCTACTCGGACGATAAATCATTATCTAACGCCTAACCGTATCGTATATACGGTAAATATATTTTTGTAAATATATATATATATATATATATATATAAAATAATATAAATATATTGCACATATATGTAAAAATATTAAATAAAAATTAAAGTCTAAGTTAAAATGATGTTAAAAATAAGTCTAAAAAAAAGTCAGTGATAATAGTTAAAAACAAAATCTGCGGTTCGTCTGGCCTAACACAAAAACATAACATAGTTGTTTGATTCTTTGTAAATTTGATTACATATAATGTTAATCTAATTCGTTCAACATGATTAATTTGACTTTAAACAAATTCTAGTGTTGTATACGAAATGCATCTCACGTAAACATCTAAATCAAGCATGAGATGCCATAGAAACTAAGAGACCAAGACACAATAAAAAAGTAGGTAATGAACTAATAAACAGAGATAACAAAATTATAATATAGTTAGGGTTTTCTCTCTTTATTAGTTTATTTTTAAAATACATAATTAATTTATTCTTTATTTAATGAACCGAAAGAACATCACTTAGTTGAAATATGAAAAAGGCATATCGTATATACGGTAACCGTATAACCGTATAAACGTTTGTATAAGCACTGTATATTCAGCCGTATTAACTTTAATCGTATTTATTAAATATATATAGCTTAAAAACGATACACTGGCTTACCATATACCGTATAGACGCCATATACGGTCGTTTAGGACGTATTTTAGAACAAATTTATAATGCATATATAATAGCATAGGTTAATTAAATCAGAAACGCAAATACTGCATACATTTTCCTCCTACGGGATATAAGATATATTTAGAAACGAAAAATAATTTATAAGAATAGCCAGCTTTAACAAATAAAAGGATTGTTATTTTCATTTCAAATATTATTCATCAAAATTAGTATTTTGTCACATGTGGATTTCGATCCATATTTTGTTGGAAAATTATAAAAAAAATAGTTGTCGTAAATTATATTGAAAATGTTATTTGGATTTGATAATTTATATATCGTATGCTAATTTCAGTAAATTATTTCCACCAAGTCATGTTATTTTATATCCCAAGAAAAATGGAGGAAGAGATCGATTCGTTAAAAGAAAAGAATATAGAAAGAGAGGATCATATGAAGACGGAAGTGTAACAAATAAAAAACAGGAAGACATGATGCAGATTAGATTTGCCCGAAGAAAAAAGTGTCAATATTAAAATTGTTATGGCGAGGGCATGTGTTCATGATGTGTTCTATCTGGAATCAGGTGTACAATTAAGCTTATTTAATCAATAATGCATGCAACACCTTATATGATATGCATGGATACATGTGCTTTCTGAGTATATATCTATCATTTATAGCATGACTAACTAAAAGTTTTGTGTGTAGCGCTAGCTATTGCTAGCCACATATATATTATTTTCTGATATTTTTTCCCGTATACCAAATTTATGTTCGAGTAAGTAATGACTTTTAAAAGTCTAAGAAACAATATTTGTGGGTTAATTTAGCTAGGTTTATATTGCTCGATTTGCCTTCATGATTTCTCATTTTCGGAGACTCAAGGAAAGCTACATGCATGCGCGATTTGTCAAGTAGCAATTGGTTTAAATTGCTCCTTCCGTAGTTTTCTGATTCACGTACCGTTCCATTCCTCTTTGTATTTTTCCCGTAGGAACAACGAACAACTTAGTGTTTCCGTTCGACACACAATTTTTTTGTGATCTTTGTGGATTAATGGAAAATAACGTCGATATTCATTGACCTACGACTTGTTACTATAAGATATAGATAGCGCGTAAACTTCAAAGCTGCAAACTGTTAAGTGTCAAAATCTGTTTATATAGCACATGCACTTTTTTAGTGATGTAAACAAAAATTATTTACTAAAACAAGGTAGCACATGCATGCTTTCTCTTTTTGGAAGAAAAATAAACCTTTACAATTTTATTGGAAATATGCTTCTCTTTTTTCTAATAGGAAAAGTCACAACTGTGGTCTTTACATTTCTGTCTCCATATATATGATCCGCTATATCGTCTAGGCTAGCTATGATGCATAAACGAATAGGACGATCGATATGTATTTCTATATATATATATATATCAGATTAATATAGTGGCCGATGCATTTTGTTTTAAAATTTCACATGTAGGTATGCATGCATTTCATATTATAATACGGAGCCCGCTAATTATTGCTTGGTATCGATTTTATAAAAGTTTTGTTTGTTTTTTTAAAAAATCTTTTCATTTTGTTCATTAGATTTATGAAGTTTATCAGAACTAGTTATTTTAATTGATCTGGAACTTATTTAAAATATATATATAACTTTTTGTAAAGTCTAAAACAAAAGAAATATTTTTGGAGTTAGGAGATTAGGATTCGAGTTTTTTCACTGCTATTCTAATCATAGTTGATCAATAAAAATATTTTAAATGATAAATAATACTATAAATTTTTTACAGATTTTAGAATTTAGTTTGGATTTCAGTTGACGATTCTGCGGTTATTTTATATAAAGTAACATGAATGGAAAACAAATGGGGTGTGGTCCTGAAATGCAAAGGAGTTTTTGTAAAAGGGAATTTTTGGCTTTGCGGCTGTTTGATGAGATTTTGGACTTTCTCCACTAATTTAAAGCCAATCAATCCCTGTGGGGTTTTCCGCTCTTTCCCACCCACTTTTTTTCACGATCCATCCCTCTATTTTCCATTTCCTTATACTTCTTCCCCATACTTTAATATTAGTTTCTGGTTTTATTCTTCCATAAATGATAATAGCTCTAAATTCTTATGTAAATTAACTAATTCAATGGTGGTTATACTCAAATTTTTCTCTTTTATATATTTTTACATATAATATTCCTTTTTTTTTTTTAATAGTTTACCTACAAGTGTAACTGACTACAGTAATTTGATGGTATTAAATGCTATATCTTGAATAAATAAATAAAAAGGTGTTTGGTTTATGATTTTGATTGTTACACGTTACAACTCAAAAGCAATCCCGCTTTCTACATAATATACTATTGTTTAGTTTAAACTAAATCGCTCGCTGCTTTACACGTAAAATCGAATTCGCATTGCTCAAATAAAATACTAGTTAAGAGTTTACTATAATAAAAGAAAATGAGAATCTTAAATTGGCATTAATCATGACGGACCATGTGGGGATCTTCATGCCTTGCATATAAGCAACCACAAACTAATAATCAAATCCTTCTTTTCTTCTTATTGAACAATAACAAAGTCACAAAAATACCACACATCAAATAAACAACTAGAAAAACAAAACATTATCATACTCTAGGCCCCCTCTCTCTCTCTCTCTCTCTCTCTCTCTCTCTCTTTCATATCAATATCGCTTACATATATTTCATGACAAACATTGCATTCATCATATCACATATATATAATAATACGTCATTTAAGACATTTTCAAATTTTAACAAAGTCAAATTCTCTTCTTTATTATATTCTAAGAAGAAAAATACTGAGTTCTGGACCTCCGTTTTTGTCCGGGTTCATCATGTAAAACGCCTCCGAGTCACGGCTCCCAACGACTCGTTCAAATTTTCCTCTCATATACAACAGCTCCCCAAGCTCCGTTCCACTACCAACACCGGACACGTCATCAATAGTCTTCGGCGTCGGAATAACTCCGGCTCCAACAGTAACCCTAGAGACCGTGTTCAACACGCGCCAATCCGTGTCAGTACACGCCCCGCCACGTGACACAGCGTAACCGCACTTTCTCCCGTTGCAGTACATCGTCCATTTGGGCTCTTGGAAAAGCTTCGTTCCTGATCGATGACGCTTCTCGCACTCCAAAGCGATCCTGACGAGCCCCGAGGACATCTCTTTGACGAGAGTTGCCGTTGACATGGCCAGGTCCAGGAGCAAGACCGGGTCTGATCTCTGGTTGTACTGGACCGAAAACGTGACGTGGCCTCTTTTGTGTCCGTACAGAGTCCCGGTAACTCTTCTCCCGAGAGAAGAGGATCCACCGGTGACGAGTGAGATCAGTTGGTTAGAGACGCCGGAAGAAGAAGATGGCGGAGAGGGAAGAGAGAGGATTTTGCAAGCGGGGATATTAATGATGTTGATGAAAGAACGCAAGAGCAAAGAAAACTTCAAGTGGAGTTTCCCGATAT